TGCTGGGTCCCCAGCACTTCTGAAAATCAGACCAGTTAATCAGGTATCAAGGTATGAATTTAACTCTTTTAGAAATCTTGGCCTCTGTATCTTATAGCTTTATGCAGACAACCTACAGTTGTGATATATCTGCTTCATTCCAACTTATAATAGGAAAAAAAAAGTCAATTGTAAGCCTGTAATAAACCACAGTTCTCAGGAAAAAAATTTTCAAGTGAGGAGTCAACACTACGTTTCGGAAACTCCTCCAGACATTTACATCTATCAGTTTAGTTAAGACTCCTCCTAAGACTTAAATAATACTAGGCGTGATACTCATGAGCGCAAAGAAAATTTATGACCTGAAGCCAAGTCAACAAGCTAAGTCACAGTAAAGGGGATAAATGAATGCATTTCCTCTATCTAGAGAGAGGGAGAAGTGGCTAACAATATAGATACTTTGGAAATGACAAGCATTAACCCAGATCTCAGATATAAAGCTATATTATCAGATATAAAAGAGTGGAAACCATTTATAGTGCATTAGGATATTGTGAAAATAAGTATATAGTGAAGTAGAATGAAAGTCTTGAAATTTTTCAGAGCATCAGAATGTGCAAATTGCAGTTCTGATGAACCTCTGATTACGGTGAAGATGTTCCTGGAAAATAATACGACTTCCCTGTCATAATTCAGCTATGTTCTCTGTTTTGTGATGGAGATAATTTTCGAGTCCCCATCTGATTTTTAGCCCTTCATAACTTTGACTAGAAAAAAATTGGTTTGGCTTGAAAATTGCCAGTTTTCTGTGAAGGCTAGAATGGATTTTCCTATAAAGTTGGGGGAAATGGTAGAAGTCCTGAATTAGCAGGTCACTAAAAATATACTCTGATTTGAAATATTGGCTTTAATTATTTGGTATGGAAAAGAATCAACATAAAACTAGAAATTGGTGTAATACTTGTTTTCTTGGCTGTGCCAGGTGCAGACAGAGAGAGATTAATGATTTTGGAACAAAACTTCCAATATATTAGAACATCCTCTGTAGTTCATGTATAGGAAGTACAAAGTGACGCCCCATGCATACACTTCCCTTCTCTGTATGTACAAGCAAGTTATTATTCCTAAATTTCACTCTTCCACCGTTCTCATTTAATTTCCTAACTCCCAAATCAAGCTGAACAACAATTTCTCACGTCACTAGACAGCACAACTGGTAACACCCAAAAGCCTGGAATGCCTGCCATGAAAATGCTTTAAGAAGTATGTCATAAATCCTGTTCCACAGGTTGGGTTTTTATAAGACTTGAACTGAATAACTAAAAACATGGGAAAGGGAGAGAGCCGCAAAAGTATTTTATAACCAATTCCTTCTTGTCTCTCTACTTTACAAGGCAGGAGGCTGCCACAGAAATGACATGTAGGCACCAGACATAATCCATTCGCAAATATCAGATTTTGAATCATGATACCCACTATTGGCAACAGATAAACCAAAAAAGTTAACCATTTCCTTGCTTTTATTGGACTACATGCAACTTCCTATTTTCAAGCTTTTTAATATTTAAATAAATGTGTTGCTTTTGTATGGGGCCTGAAGTCCTCTATCAACAGCACCGGCACTGGCACTTGAAGCTGTCTTCCACCCCATCTGCATCATTGTTGGGACCTGATCCAAAGCCCATTAAAGTAAATTGAAAGAGTTCAGTAGGATCTGGACCTGCCTTTGTAAAGGGATTATCTCTATAAATTAGAGGGCAATTCAGTTTCATGCTCATTTATGGCTTCTCTATGGAAACAGCTTTATATGTGATATACATTTTAACAAATTTCATAGGTGGCCTGATCCAGCTCCCACTGAAGTCAATAGAAAAATTCCCCCTGGAGTTCAATGAGAGCTAGATCATACTCTAAAAGCTCTTTCAGCTAGGCACTGAGGCAGTTATGTTATTAGACAAACTGTACAAAGAGTCTGAAACATCCTCCAATGAGACCTTGTACTGTATTTTATTTGATTCATTTAATCGAGACTTACTGTGAGCAAGCCCAACAGCTCAACCACAAGATATGCAGGCACCCAGTGCAATTGATTTTAAAATAACCCTTTGCAGAGAGGTGGAAACCATGTAGCGCCAGAGCAACTCATAGTGCAAGCGTACAACAGTTGTCTTTTAACATACCTGATGTGTCAGATTATTCTACATAGTTTGGCTTATGTAAAGTTGCTGAAGGGCAAGATTCCCATTATAAGAGGTATTAATAGAAACTTTTTGACTGGCTCACAAATTATGGTTATAAAACTTGAAATTTCTTAACAGTTTAAATCCTCAAGGGTGTCTGTCTGGCTCTCTCTCTCACTCACTCAAAAAGTATGTAATGGAAAATACCAGGGGAAAGACTCATGAAGGGTATGATCTAAAGCCCATTCAAGATAAAGGGAGTCTAATATAGGGGGGAAATTCACCTCCTTATCAGTTTCTTTCTTATTTTATAGATTTCCAGTACTTGGGATACTTGTAAAGCATTCCCAGAAGAAGTAGGAAGTGACTAAGATCAAGACTATTATAGCTACAATAAATAAGACACATGCTGCTCTCCATAGAAGAGCTTTGCTGGAGGTTAGACTGTGTGTCAGCTCCCTGCCGCACCACTCTATCTTGCTCATCAGTAAACTGCTCAAGGCTCTCCGGACCCAGACATTGCCCAGCAGGTAACAATCAGTAAGCTCCATCCCCAAAGCTCCTCAGAGATGTTTCTCTGCAATGCACAGCCCCTACCACTGTGCAGTCACAGAAGATATTAAATTTGCTGTTCTGTTAAAGAGTCAGTACATCACAGTTTATTATTTTAACTGGGGTAAACACACCCTCCCCTTCAAAACACAGTGCTGAGTTTGTTTACAGTAAAAGTAAAACAAAAGAACGTGGACTAAGTGGCACCAAGTAAAACAGATAAAGGTAGAAATGGTTACAAGCATAAGTGAAACCGTATCTATAAGAATATAAAACTTAATCTAGCAAGATATAGTCTTTGTTTAAGATGGTTTCTCTCACCTACAGTCCCCTTTCCAGCTTTTTACTGGCCAGCCTGACCAGGACTCAACACAGAGATCAAATCACTTGGTTTCTTTATCACCTTAAGGTGAAGGAGCAAGATAAAGTCTTTCTCTGTTCCTTATATTCCCAAAGGGAGTCTGTTTTGCAAGTCAGGAAGGCGTCCTAAGGATTCAGTCTCCTGTGTCTCTTTGAGGTGCATGAGCTATGTTAATCCTCAGTCTCTCGAGTTCTGGCTCAAAACAACCTCTGCTGGTTTAGCTTGAGAACTTTGCTTACAGCTAATATGTAAACTGAGGTAAACCCACATTCCTTTGTTTAGGACAGACCTGTTCATCACCTTTATCTGGGCTAGGCTGTCTTGTCTTAAACATGTTCTAGTAACTTCATACAGAATAAATTAATAACTTCACATATGTTAACTTGTGCATTTTACAATGATATTAATAACCAGAGAGTTATTAAGCTTTCATATGGTATTTCACAAGGCATATTTTGTACAAATATTATTGCAGTAGCGTGTAGGGAGAGAATACCAGTGTGCCTAAGGTCACAGACACCAAATACTCTACACATTTTGAATAAATAAAGCATTTGTGATAAAGTCCTTTGACTTTACCTTTGCCACTTTAAATCTGGCATTTTGAACATCAGAACAGCCATACTGGGTCAGATCAATGCTCCATCTAGCCCAGTATCCTGTCTTCTGACAGTGGCCAATGCCAGGTGCTTCAGAGGGAATGAACAGAACAGGTAATCAAGTGATCCATCTGCTGTCCCCCAACTTCTGGCAAACAGAGGCTAGGACAGTCAGAGCATGGTGCACCCCTGCCCATACTGGTTAATAGCCATCCTCTGTGAACTTATCTAGTTCTTTTTTTCCCCACACATCAATTCTATGTTCTACAGTTTCAGAGCAAGAATCGGGCGCTGTTGATAGATGCATCCTGATAATTCATTTATTCAAGATTGGACTATGAAAACATTCACTAAATTGATTTTGAAAATGGGACACTTCCTGAATCCTACAACTTAAATCTAGTTTCACATTTGAAGCAGCAAACAAATCATTTTAATCACTCATCCTACATCATTGGCTTGTTACAAAAGAACATTTGGATGTCCTTTAGACTAAAGTGATGGAAAAGCTTGTGTAAAAAATACCAATAATTGTATGTTCTGAGATAATGCTTTTCTCTGTGGCTGTCAATGTGCTTTATGAAGGAGGATAGTTATCATTATCCCCTTTCTCTAGATGGAAAACTGAAAGCTAATATTCTCTTCCCCAAGATCCCACAGTGAATCTGTGGAAGAGCTGAGAATGGAACCCAGGCCTCCAGTCCTGACTGCGCCTTCATAGACCATGCTGACCACTACTATATTGCCTGCAGCTACTTTATGACGGGCAAGAACTTGTTGTATTTATTCCCTTTAAGTACTTTTGTACATCAAACCACTGAAAGCACTATTATTTTAGGGACATACTGGGTAAGCAGTGGCAAAACAGTAAGCAGACTGTGTACATGAATTTTGACAGTGGGTGTGACTAATAAGTTAACTATTTCGTTGCTTTTATTGGTTTGCAGATTAATGTTAGATGCATGCACATAATAGGATCAATTTAATACTGTTAGTCTGTCTTCCAACAACCTCTTTTGTGCACTGATAGAATTTCAGTCCTGCTCAAATGTGAGATTATATTGCCCTGTAGTGGTTATATAATATAGACAATACAAGCCTTACTGCTGTGACAAGCATGAATGACTCCCATGTTACTCCTAGCTAATGTTAATAGGACTTACATGTATGTATTGACAGGAGGATATATCCACTTGGAAAGCTGAAAACCTGTATCAGAAACATCATAGACAATGGAATGTTGCATTGGTAGTAACTGGGATTTTTCTCAGCCTGATAAATGAGTAACTTCAATCCAATAAATCCTCAGAGCATCTCACTGTAATATTAAAGCGAAGATCTTAAGTTAAAGACTGAAGAGAGTAAAAGGAGTACTAGCACATTTAAATAGAATGGTACAATTTTGAAGTCTATTTTATATTATAATATATGTCAGAGAACACTACAAAATATAGAACTGAATGCTTATGGTACCAAGACAAATAGGAAATATATGGACAAAATAGAGAAGCTAGATTCAAACAGAAGACTCATAAAAGGCCTTTTTAGTTTAACCTGTAGTAAAATGTGCAGAGAGCACTTTTGTATGATCATTATATGCTGACATTATCACCCATTATTTGAGAAAAGGCATTAAAATTGAAGGCAGTTGTGATTTCTATGATGATAAAGGTGTTGCAACTTTCTGTGTATAGATACAGCATGGCTTGGTCTGACCCAGTATGGCTGTTCTTATGTGTATAACATCCCCCTTGCAACTCTGTGTATAAATATCTTAATGTTCACAATTTTAAAAGTTTAATTACTGTTTTCATAGACTTCTTCACTAAGCATCCACACTGCCAATAGCTGATGAGATAAGGACTCAAATTTTGGGGAGTCATGTTGGTAGCATACTACCCACCCTCTCTGAGGCTGCCTTCAGTTCTCCAGAATTTAAAAAACAAAAAAACAAAACCAAAAAAAGTTGTTATGGCCGCAAAAAAAAATCTGAAAATGTGAGCCAAGTGTAACCAATACAGCAATTTGCCTAAGTTTACAGAGAGTCTGAAACAATAGTTCTGAGATATGAAATGCCTGTTCATTTCAGTGGATACCAGCTCCGATGCTAATGATGAAACTTTAAGTATCAACATTGTTAACAATTTCAGTGATCATCAAAATATGAAGAAAGGTGAAAAAATATCATATTATGAAGATCTACATAGTCTATTCTAACTATAGCTTACCACCAGTTATTTTTAATCCTAGTCATGAAGGAACCAGTATAGTACAGGGAGAATACACAATCATATTTTGAACAGCTGCACAATCAACAGAGAGCAGAATCTTACTTTGTTGTCCCAAATGGATGCAGTTTATGTATGTATGTTAGAAGAGTACGACTACTCTCTGGTCCAAATTCAACTCCTGGCTGAGTTTACAAGCACATGTAATGAGTAAGTTCCCTTTTTCTCCAAATATTTAAGAACAGACAAGAATGACATTAATATACAAATTCTTTTAGGTTTATGTATTTCTTCACCCAGCTGTTTCACAGCCCACTTCACTGGAAGTAACAATTAATCAAACAGATGGCACTTAAACCATGAAAATAGCAGTTATTTTAGAATGATAGAAACTCCAACTTACAATCTTATTTTTTCAAAGACAGGCTTTGATGAAAGCTATTCTACAAACATTTGGGTAAAGCATAGTTCATCACAGTACAGGTTAACTCCTGTCACCATTTCATGTTAGTAAAAATAATATCTGGCATTTACATATGGCATCTTTCATTTTAAGGATCCTAAAGGCTTGATTCTGCAAGGTGTGGAGTGTCCTCAAGTGTCACCGAAGGGCATCTCTCACAATGTTGCCAACTCGCATGATTTTATGTTGAGTCTTGTGAGAACAGGTGTTTTTCCTAAAGCACCAGCTTCTGGAGCCAGGTGAATATGAGATACTTTCTTTAAATCTGAAAACAGAGATTAAGTTGTTGTGGAGAAAAGCTCAAAAACAAATCTTAGAGAAACCAGAAAACATTTAAAAATCCAAAATTTCATTTTCTTGGGCTTGACTCATGATTTTTTGAATGTTTGGGGTTGGCTATGCTGTTCTCAGGAGGCAATCTTTATTTACAGTCATTCCAGTCATGACAGCTGTGGAACAGCACATACCAACATTACACAACACCCTAGGAGAGGAAGTGAAGAATACTATATCCCAATGAAAACGTAGGAATAGTATCACTTCAATTGGCAATTTGAAAAAGAAAGGACTGTATTTCATACAAACTTTCCTTTAAAAACATATGCACAAAACATGTGCCAGGAGAGAGAGGCCAAGGAATGAATAGGCATGAGGATGAAAGAGTGATTATGGCACATGAGAATAACATGTAGTTATATTCCAAGAACTGGACACACCCTGGAAATTCAGTATTCAGGAGCTGGTAAAGTACATCTTTTTCCCTTAAGTCATCGGCTTGCATCACATTTCAGCTGGAAGAAAGCATGGCTGTAAGATGCTTCATCCTCCTCAATGAGTCTCTGTAATAGCCTAGTGAATGGAGGATGGTTGAGTGATAATTTAGTTACTTAACTCTTGATGTAGAGTACATTCAAATGCCAAGGACACTAATTGTCCTGAAGGATATCAATCAGTAGGAAGGGGCCTATTTAGATTGTAAGCTTCTACTTAGTTTGCAAGTTACTTTTGTTTGGGCAGAGAAGATCATCTTTTTGTTCTCCGTTTGTACAGCACTTAGCATTGTGGGGACCTGGTCCATGACTAGGGCTCTTAGGCAGTCCTGCAATATAAATAATAATACTCTTTTATCTTACAGCTATTGGGCTTGATTTTAGTCTCACTTAGAGCAGTTTTACATCAGTGTGACTCCATTGACCTCATTAGATTTACTCTTAACTTACACAAGTGTGAATGAACTGAAAATCAGGGCCTCTACCTTTATTCTGGCTTTCTTTACAGTCTGTTATGATAGTTGCACACCATCTTGACTGGAATGTTGTCACTATACACTTCTATTCTTCCTAGACATGGGTTGGCCCAAATTCCTTATAATGACAGTGTTTTTGCTGACTGCAGCATTATGTCTTGATAATGTTATGTAAAATCTCATGGTCTCATCCACAAGGGACGCAAGGAAGAACCTCTAAGGATCAGAGGCCTAGCCCATGTCATGGCTTTGACCAGTGCGGCACCTTTCTCACATGGTCTTTTTGGCTGGCTGTTAGTTATTAGTTGTGCCAGTCACTAATGTCACTCTACTATTTTCCAACAACAGCAAGGAACTAGAAAAGAGAGCCAAGCCCGCTTCCCCTATTCCCCTTCTTCCCCACACCAGCAGCACAAGCTGCACAGGGACATTGGATTCCAGTGACTTCTGAGCACCAGGCAGCCCCAGCACCCAGTGACAAATCAAGACTAAATGGGGCCTGGATCCAATTCAGCTATAGGACCCCCTGCACACACACACACACACAAACATACTCATGAAGGTCCTGACTTCTGCCCATCAAAGTTGCCTCTTGTTCCTCCAGCATTCTCAAATGGTGGGCCCACCCTTGGATCCATACTTTGTGTGTACACAGAACTTTTCTAGCTCAAGGCCCAGATCCACAATTCCTGTCTTCTTCCACTCCTGCCAGCACCTCCATTTCACCCACCAGCATGACTCTTGCTGCCTACCATACTCTTTTCTGCTCACCTTGCATCACATCCCTTCTGTCCCGTACTCCTTCCATTCAGTTTCTCCCCCTCCATCTACCTCTCCTCTTTCACTCACATGAATTCTATTACTTCTCTCCTACCAGCATTTTCTCTGCACACTTCAACCCTTGCAAAAAACATTATGACAATCATAAACAACTTTATGAAATGTGGGAGGATCCAGATGCTTTTGTAATTTAACCACAGCATCCACCTGACCTTACTAGTGTAACCCTTATTCTCTTTCCCCTCCTTCTTCCCTTTGTTTATCTGTATCACTTGTTTTATGTGTGACCTGGACCTTGATCCTGCAAATAGATGTGCCAATGCAGTTAAAATGGGAATAAAGGTTCATGCCTATATATCTATTTGCAGGAGAGTAGCCTTAGATTATAAACTCTTTCTGGCCAGGGGAAATATCTTTATACATCTGTAAGGCCTCATGCACACTTGTGGTACTGTACAACTAAAACGAGCTTTCACTAATACATATCAACTCATCGTCTTCATCAGTCATGTCATGTATCTTTGTACATCTATGACACAGAAGCCCATTGGTGGTTCCCTACTCTGTGTCAGCACCTCTTATCAGGCCTGGCATATTCAGTGCACCCCAACACACTGTTGTCACGACATATACCCAAAAGGTGGCATGTAATATATCATTGGAAAATTAATGACCCACTGATGATTAAGATTCTGACATGGTGTATGTATGGTCAGTTCACAAAGGACTTTATTGAAATGTGCTGCAAATATGTTCTTAAAATGCATTTGTCAAACAGTGCCTAAGCCACACCTGTTCCAAACAAGGGAATGTAGTTCCACCTGCTTGAATGGGTCTCCAATGTAAATTAGGCAAGATGTGATCAAAGACAAATTAAAACATTTATATACAAGGCAAACAAAACCATAAGGAGAGCATGTGGGGGAAGAAGATTACCTAACAATCTTGATGGCGATTGCAGACTGCACCCGTGGGAAACCTTCCTGCCTCTTGAAGCAGGGTCAGGGAATTTTGGGAAGATGTAAACAGAGAGAAAAATTCATTTTGGCATCCTTCACCTGAAGAGACAAAGGAACCAAGCACTGAGATCTGCGAAGGGTCCTGGCCAGAAAGTCTGGTGAGCCATGCTGGAAAAGAGACTTGGTTGAAAACACTACTTTGCACAAGAGAGTTTAGTTTGTCAGATCAGGGTTTAGTCTTAGAAACATATTTTTACTTTTGTTTGCTTCTAATGCTTTCTATCTTAATTCCTTATACTTGGTATCACTTAATCCTATGTCCTTTTGTTAAATAAACTTGTTTCACTTTTAATATAAACCAATTAAGTGCACTGGTTGAAGGGAAGGGTGTATTAACCCCAGTTAAGCTAACCAACTGTAACGTGTTGTCTCTTTAAAGGAGCAACAAACTGACTAACTTCTGAGTGGGTTCCAGAAGAGGGCTGGACACTGCTTGCAGACAATTTCAGGACTGGGTGGGTGCTGGGGTCCCGCTGCAAACAGTAAGTGGGTGGTGAAAGCCAGGGTGTGACCTGCATGTTTGTATGCAAGCTGTTGGTGTCCGGGCTGTGAGCCATATCAGCATGGCATTTAAAGCACCCAAAGATGCAAGGCAGGTGGCAACACAATCTCTCACTGGTCTGGGTTGAAGCAAAGCATTGCAACATAAACACTTATGATGGTGTCAAATTAATAATTCCCTTTCCCTGTCACACACACCACTTCCTTCTATTTTTACTTACACTGTGGGTTGAGATGTCCCAAGAAGGCAATAAGAACTGGCCATGCATCTGCTGAACTGGAGAGCAAGCCTGCATGTGCAAGAAGTGTGATGCATTTTAAAAACAATACCCTGGTGCCCCATTTGTTTCATACTCATGTTCATCAACACTAATTATAATAATAACCCTCCTTCATAACAGGCTTAATTATCAAGTCTAAATGACTATATCTTCTGCCCTTTAACCCTGTTATTGAATTCTCCCCTGCTTGGGCGACAGATTGCTTGGGCTGAAATTAGAAGAAAGAAGGGTTACCAACTGATGCTAGTTCTTTAGTTCTTGTTGGCTCAGAACAGCTCTTGCTGTTGGTTTTTGTTCATTCATTCAGTGGATGGTTGAGAGGATGGGATAATAGGCCTTTGATTTGTTCACAGCAATAAGTTCCTGGCTCTCTGAGACTTGTAGCCAGCATTGGCAGGAGAATATTTTTCTTTGGGGGTCTTGCTGTTCACAAAGTGAAGGTATTGCTGCCCCCAAAGCTAGCCATTTAAAAGTCATATTTAAACAGAGAACTATTAGATTGGGCCAAGGGGCGTCCTACTCAACATTTCCCTTCTCCTGCAGGTTCCACTATAAATGACACATACTAACTACAGGCTAAATTCTGTAGTTCTTAATCAATCAAAACTCCCATTATCTTCAGTAGTTTTGCACAATTAAGAAGTTCAGAATGTGGTCCTAAATATGTGAACAGATGCCACAGATATTGGTCTAATCAAAGGACTGTTTCCAAACCTAAATATCAAATACTGAGGGAGTGAAAAGTTCATTTTCAAACATTGTTCTGCTTATTATAATGATCAACATTTTTACCAAGGATGGATGACTCACCCCATTCTCTGTATCATCTGCCTAACAATGCCTTAACTCTTTCTTTTTCCTTCTCCTCCAGTCCATCCCTGAAGTAATAAATTAAAAAACAAAACATAATGGGACTACTTGTCCAAGTAAGTACTCACCAGTGTAAGAGCTCCACAATCTGCCCCATCTACATTGTTTCTTTGCCTACACACATACACACAATTTAAATCAGAGTGAGTTGCACTGGTCACCATTTCCATCATTACAGCATGTCTATACCGACACAGCGTAACTACAACAGTGACTACAAACCCAGTGTAGACAAGGCCTGAGGTACATAAATAGTCTGTAAAAATGTTATTGTACATAAGAACAAAAAGTTTACACATTGCATTTACTATAGGGTCAAATCCCAAAGTTCTTACATTTTTCTTATCCCTAATTCAAGAAAACTTCCACTGAAGTCAGCAGGCCAAAAGCTACACTCAGCTACACCAATGTAAGTTTATATTGTAAGTACAGGTAGGGGGCTGTACATCTCCAACCTCTGCTGAAATCTAGAACCATAATTTAAAGCTGGGCTTTCCTTTTTAAAGAGCTAAATTAAAAAACCATGGGTGAAATCATCTCCCCACTGAAATCAATAAGAGTTTTGCTATTAACTTCAATGAGGCCAGGATTTCACCCCAGATCCAGACACCTCCAGACTTGACGGAAGTTCAGATCCAGGGCTGACACACTTTTCTGAATGTAAGATATCTCGTTTACATCCAGGATAGAACTGTTCAGCTTCATTGTAGCTTTATGGTCCAGAATCTAAAATTGTTGTTTCATAAGATTTTGTAGAATTAGGATTGTCTATAAATTGGTGGTTTTGGATCACAGAGATTCATGCAAACTTTATTCTCAGTCTTTGATTTGAGTGGAATGATCCCCAAGAAATCAAAAAGATTGAGGAGTACTTGTGGCACCTTAGAGACTATTTGGGCATAAGCTTTCATGGGCTAAAACCCACTTCATCAGATGCATGCAGTGGGAAATACAGTATATATATATACAGTATATATATACACACACAAAGAACGTGAAAAAATGGGGGTTGCCATACCAATTCTAATGAGACTAATCAATTAAGCTATTATCAGCAAGAGTGTCAGGGTTCCCTCCCCACTCTGAACTCTAGGGTACAGACGTGGGGACCCACATGAAAGACTCCCTAAGATTATTTCTACCAGCTTAGGTTAAAAACTCCAAGGCACAAATTCTCCCTTGTACCTTGGATTAGGTAATGCTGCCAACACCAAGTGATCAGACAAAACTCAGGGAACGGACCACTTGGAGTTCCTATGCCCCCTAATATACCCCCAAACCCTACACCCCCTTTCCTGGGGAGGCTTGAGAACAAACAAGATGAGCACAAACCAACCTTGGGTTTTTTTAGACCACTAAAAATACCAATCAGATTTAAAAAAAAACCAACAGAACTTTATTAGAAAGAAAAAAGTTAAAAGAAGCACCTCTGTAAAATTAGAATGGAAGATAATCTCATAGGGCAATCAGATTCAAAACACAGAGGATTTCCCTCTGGCCAAAACTTTAAAGTTACAAAAAGAAAACCAGGAATACACCTCCCTCTCAGCACAGAGAAAATCACAAGCCAAAATAAAAGTAAGCTAATGCATTCCCTTGCTAGTACTTACTAATCCTAATGGAGTTGGATTGCTTGCTTGCTTGCTTTCTTGATCTGTCTCCAGCAAGCACACAGAACAGACAGACAAAGAACAGACAAAACAAAGCCTCCCTCCTCCTCTTCCTCTTCTTCTCCTCCTCCTCCCTCCCCAAC